CAGCCTTGCCGAATAATCACAATTACAATTTGGTGTGGAAAAAGATCTCCCAGTTTTTCTGAAACTTGTGCATCATTGCCAAATCAATGTTGTTTTGGAACAGTTCAGAAATACAGGTAGGATATTCATTAAAAGGAAAATTATTTTGTCCAGTACATAATCTACATTAAAAGGGAGTTGGTTGACTAAGTTTAGCTGAGAATATGGGTATGGAGGCAGATTAAGGCAAACCTCTTTCTTAGAAATGAGCAGTTTTCCTAAATGCAGTCTATATTTAGCTGTTTTTTATAACTGTACCACTAGAAGAAAAGCAAATGCTGATGCAGAGTCGATACTGATAATTTGAGTTGATTCAGCATTTTTAAAATGTTTAAATAAAACTGGAGAGTGATTACTTTAAGTCAGTTATAGGTGACACTTGATTCTTATCTTCAGACCATTACAAAAGACCTGCAGAATATGGTGATTGAAAACTAATTCAGGATTTAGTTCCGTCTAGTGCAAAAATTTACACTCAAATTTGTTTTGCTCTAACTGAACTAACCTATAATTCTACAAGGAAAATATTTTTACTGTACTCAAAATGTCCTAGTTCACTCATTTTCTGACCAACTAGCCATTCTTTCTGAACAATGATTTCTCAATTATGCTTAGAAACAAAGTTCAGTTCTGTGAAAAAGGATTCTGCCCTTTTTAATTTTCTGGATTTTTGCCGCTATGCAATCAAAATTTTGTGAAGATTTAATTGAAATATATAAAAGTTTGGATGATCAAACAGAATCAACATTTGGCTCATTTCAGATTTCATAAGTAAAATAATTTAACATGTAATGTGGAAGTGTGAAAATGCAATTGCCAATTTAGATCAATCCGTTTAAATGTCAAAATTAATTAAGATTACTGTGATTACTTCATGAAAGAATAAAGGCTGATTTGGGACAACCTGTTTTATAAAAACCCACAAAATTTGGCCTTCCTCATCATAGTTCTTATAATTCAGATTCTAGAAACCTGCTGTGTTTGTAACAAATGGAAGAATAACCCAATTCTACAATTTTGATGCCATTTATTCAGAAAAAAAAACATCTTTTTAGATAAACACTGTGCTTGTCTTTCATAATTATTTCCTAAAACAAAATTATTGGGAAAGATCTAAAGATCAACCAATCTCCTTCATCCTCCGGCTTACTTTTAGGAATATAAAATTTTAGAGCTACGAGCTCTACAGTTCATATATGATAAATATCTTAGTCATTGAGTGTAAAATTGGTTTGACACTATAATAGAAATAAGAAATAGGAAGGTGCAAAGCATTTGAATTATTAAGCAGCCTTTTCTATTAGCAGGAAGGTAGAAGTTTATTATCATTGTCTGAAGGTTCATGATTATCAGATGTGCCTGACACACCTGTCGACACTTATATTCTTTGTATTTGCCCAGATTGTTTTTCCAGTATTGTTGCTGTTTGTTCTACCCACCATCTCAGATGAAGGGTGGGGGGAGCAGAGTTCAGATAGATGGCCACTCCCTTGGTTATTAGTAGATGCCTTCTCCATATAGAAAATTCTTGGCAATGTTCTTTCAAGAGCCACTGAAATAACATTCTACGCCGTTTTCAATGCTCTTTGAGTTCAGTGGGTTCTTTACTTACTAGTTTGCATGTATTATTGCTACTTTTGTTGTTGTTGTTATTGTTTGCAGAGCTTGCTTCTCTTCCTCTACCCAACACAGATGGACCTCACTACAGAGAAAGAGGGAAACCACAAGAACCTCATATCTCTCAATTGACCAGAAAAATTCCTGGTCAAAATATTAAAAGTTGCTGAGAGATCGAGTAGAACCAGGTGCTATCAGAGGTTGAGAGATATGAGTAATGTTAACTCAATTCTATGTCCAGTCTGAAAACTGAAAAGTCTAGATAATACATATCTAACACTTGAGTTTGGGTAAAATTTCTGCCACTATAGAAGATAACAGTGATGTTTATACAAACTTTTTCTACACTATGTTTGAAATTATCTCAAGATAAAGTGAGAAGTAGCAAAGAAGAGGAAATGAAGAAAGATATCTTTTTTTCTCCATGTTTCCTTTTTTGCTCAAACATCTTTTACTGTTCTGACCCAAACCCTTTTCCAAGAAGACAAACAATAACAGAAACCTTTTAATGAGTCTTATGAATCCCTGGTTAAAAGGCTGCTGCAAACTAATAAACTTTGATAAGCACAAACCTTGCCAAGACTGTACAAGACTGCTAAGAATCACAGATAAGAAATATTTCACAACACAAAAGTCCAACTTAAGACACTGTAATGTCCATGTGACTGAGTTTCAAAACGTCTTTGTTTCCTGCAAAGAATGTTTGCTTCATAGATGGCTTTTATCTTCTTGAAGGAGGGGCCATTACCTTGCAGCCTTATTCCTGAGTCACCCATGCTGTTGCAGCTGCTCTTTCCTGCTAGCAATCCTGCGCACATGCGCACTTGGCTCAGGCTCCTCGGAAACCTCATCGCTGCTGCCAGCCACCACAATCTCTGAAGGCAGCAATCTACTCCCTAATGTTCCTGGCCCCTCATCTGAGTCCTTGCTCTCCTCAGCTGTCCGCACCTACCGCCAGCTAACCACAACATTTACCATTTTAGTTATTACATGGCTACATGGGGGTTAGCATATATACTTTTTTTTCCTTTGCATGTCTTCTTTTCATAATCAGTATTTCAAGAAGCTGAAGAATGAAAAAAAAACAAAATGGAAAGTGATATTATAAGGAACACATTCCCTAAGGATAAAAACAAGCAAGATGTACATGTAAAAGAAAAGAAAAATAACCAGAGATATAACTTCTGCTTTTCATACATTTTCTCCATTTTTTTTTCTACAGTGTTCAGGATACTAGAAGCAAGAATGCACATTTACACAATCATCTGTGCCCAAGCTTTAACTGAATTGCCTGAGGCGGAGTGAAAACCACTTTCTAACCTCTGAAAAAAGTAGACTGACCAACTATCATTCAAAGCGTTCAAAGCTGGCTAAATCTTCTGATGAAAATTTAAAAAAAAAAATATTCCCACAAGGAGAAGAATTTACAAGCTTGCTTTGTTTTCTTCCATTTCCTACATTATCTCTCAGCTTAGCTGAAAAATCTGATTTTAAACAATTATTCACTTCTCTTTTCATTCCAGGTCCACGTTTCATAACTGAAGGACTGTTCCTTTATTTCCCATTTTGTGTTCCAAATGTTTCTTCTTGACAGCTCTTTAGTAATGCATGACTTAATATATCAGCCTCATGTAAAACACTAAAAATGTTAAACATTTCCGAAGGTTAAAAAAGAAGTATGAAACTGACATACTATTGAAGCAGCAGTTCTCCATCATTTTAACATCATGATTTTGGTAAGAATTCTTACCAAAAGAATTTGGTAATATTTTTGATCTAAACTTACTAAATGCTAAGTAAGGAGCCAATATGCTTAAATGATATACACTTTAGGTAAATTCCGTACTGTAAAATATTGCAAAATAATCAGACTACTAGGTAGCTTAATATAATAGAATTTTTTTCTACACAAGATACTTTATTTTAATCATATCAAATGATATGATAATGCATAAGGATCCAAATTTTTATTTTGAAATAGTTAAGTAGTACTATAGTACAATTTAGTATGGTATTACAGTCAAGACACAACTTCAAGAAATGCTTCTAAGTTTTCCTCAAAATTAATTAAGCTAATAGATCTAATTAAATTGGTGATAAAAACAATAGCAAGAGATTCTTAGCGGATTCTTAGCATTCCTCGTCCTTCCATTAACTTAAATACTTTTGGCGGAAAAAATGTGCTGGTCATTAAATAGTTCATTTTAAACCCAGTTAAATAAGTTGTTGCAACTAGGTAAGAAAGATAATCATAATAATCAAAAATGAAATATCAATATTTTGTTATGGTTGATTTTTAACTTTCATTGACAAAACATTAGAAGACAATATCTTTTTCTGAAAATTAGAAGACAAATCATATATGAAATTCAGAATTTCAAGACATGATAGTAAATTCACAAAAAAGTCTCTTTTTTTAAGGGTTGGCATATAAATACAGCAATTCTGGCAATTTATACTAATGACACAAGGATATTTGGTTCCATTCCTAGTACTGAATATTATAATAAACTTTGCATGGAAATATTAAAATGGAACTGAAGGACTACTTTCTTTCTCTGTTACATATTGACTGCTAAGAGATTCAAAGTATCCATCAAGTAAATTAGATTGCAAAATAACAACAAAAAAAAAGAATTAAAAAAATCTCCAAGCTAAATAGATTGTAATCATTTTTATTTTGACATTCAGTATATTCTATGAGTGTAGTATTAAGTTTCAAAATAATTTTCTTTTAACAAATATCTGTCAATCTGGAAAAATGTACCTCATTCTAACAAATTTTATTTAAAACTAAAATGTAATTTAACTTACAGGTATTGAATCTCTTCACACCATGCAGGAAATGTGAAAAATGCAAGTTATTTGTAAAATTAAATTTTCTTGTTCATACCACAACTAAATTTACAATAAAGCAAAACAGTCCCTTTAAAGAAGACCCTCCTACTCATATCATGCACAAAAGACTTGTAAAGATATACAGACAGCTATATATGTTGTCAATATTCTGAAAGGGATAAAAGGAGGAAATATTAGCTTACAAACTTAAGAAAGCACAACACATTACAAAGCAGCCCCCCCCCCCAAAAAAAATTACTTCAACAGCCATGACATAAAACACAAGCAAACCAAAAATAAATGAACAAAAAATTGCAATGTTAGAAATCTGAACACGTACCTGCTTGCAGAACAAAACACAAAGGAAAATATAAAGTAAAAGTAGATTCAGATACTGAACAAGCTATAAGACTGTTGCTTGGACAAAAGGGATGGCACTAGGAAATTTCAATTCAGGGAGGTTTTTTTGTACAATGCCATCATCATGAAATAGAACATCCACTCACCAAGGCAGAGATATGTGAAGCATCACCTGTGACTTCAGGCGTTCTTGTGCTGTTTGGGAATCTGAGAGGATTACGAGCTATCGCTTGGCACCAGCCCAACATTTTCTCCTTCCACTTATCCCTTTTCAAATTCTGAAATTCTGAAAATAATTTACAATCCCTGAAACAATGGTATCTTTATTTTCTTGCAAATATGTGTCTGGGCATGCAATTACATATATTTCAACTGTGCACAAATAATTAGCTGTTTTCAAGACAGAGCAGAATTAAATTCAGTCATAAGCAGTTCAGTTCGGAAACGAGACCCCCCAATAAATGATACAGCAACTTCCTTTATAATTTCTAGAGTTTGAAAGTGGAAGCTACTTATTTATAGAAGTTACATTATTTTAAAGGTAGTTGAAATACACCCAGGGGACAAAATACTCAGGCAAAAAAACTGTGCATGCAACATTGCAATAATGCACTTATATTTCTGCTGATTGAAAATGTCAGATTAAATTGTGGCACCAATCTAAGTAAAGGAAACCACTTAGTGAAATCTAATCTGCATTTGCTAGAAATAAACTCTGTTATAGTCCCATTATCTTATTTGAAAGCATAATTTTACATTTATTTTCAGAAAGAAAAGAATTTACTTCCAGGTAACTGAATCTGAATCTAAGATTACTATTTGATTCAAATACATGCAACATTTCTGTATGGCCTGTTATTACATTATAACATATTTTTCATATATTTATATTATAAATTATATAGCTTCAGATATACATTTTTATGTATGCTTGGAAACAAACCATCATGGCCTGTGAGAGATACGTTGACAGACAATTTATATTAACATCTGCTCAGTTTCAAGGCTATGAAGCAACAGCACTTACGGTAGATAATAAGGAACTACAACCTCATGATAACAGGGCAACCAACATTTTGATATGACTTTTTTTTTTAGTTTGCAACAAAAGAAATAACGTAGCCTATTTTTGCATGTGTCTGATAAAGGTTTTGCTGAGTTCAAACCCAGCAAACCCAGCCATATAAAATTTGGGGGTCTGCGATTTAATGCTAAGATCTTGTAGAGAGTAAAAAAGATGACTTTGATAATTATATGTACGCTCCATTGCCTAGGCAAATGGAGTCCAGAACTACGAGGTAATATTCAGAAATTAGTCATATGACTTCCTAATTCCTAATGCATTATAAGTTATAATTTCCTGTGGAGTTCATTTTCTGCTCTGTTCTATCTGGTGGGACAGTGTCTATGGTACACTGCCAAAAATGAGACTCTAAGTGTCGTGAAGAAAAAGCAGCTGTTTCATCAAGCTCTATAATCTTTTCCAGCTGCTAAGTGTGGCAACATGATAACATGATAAATGGTTTTTGTCAGACACAGTTCTAATTGTATTACAAATAAAAATGTGAAATCTACCCAAGATTGTTTTTTAATAAAATGGAATTATACGACAATGTGATTCTGTTGCAGTCTGTGGTTCTTAAAAACTTTCATAGCAATAAGGAATATTGCTGAATATAAGCAAGATTCAGAAAATACACAACAATACAATACATACACAGCTGGGTAAAACAGACAATAGACAATCACTAATTGCTACTATTATTTCTTCCTTGGGAAAAAGGAAGATTCCTTCCTTTCATAGATGCATCTAGGCCAGTGGTGGGATTCAAAAAAATTTACTACCAGTTCTGTGGCATGGCTTGGTGAGCATTGGAGGGGAAGAATACTGTAAAATCTCCATTCCCACCCCAGTCCAGGGAAAGATTACTGCAAAATCCCCATTCCCTCCCCACCCCACCAACCTGCTTTCCAGCTCCGTTCTCCTGTATAGGACAACAAAAGAAGAACCAGCCGATCAGCTCGGACTCAGGAGGCGGAGAATAGATGGGGGCGGGGCGAGTTAGAGGTGGCATGTGCCGGTTCTCCAAACCACTCAAAATTTCTGCTACCGGTTCTCCAGAACTGGTCAGAACCTGCTAAATACCACCTCTGATCTAGGCCTCCTTTGTGGTCTGTGAAGACCAGGACAACTATTTTTCAAATTTTGAACAAATGCTGTCTTTGGAAAAGGCCCTGAACTACAGTCACATCTCTAATTCATTGCCTAGATGCTTATAAAATTATAGTGCATGTCAAAATATAATAACTCCCTGAAAACACACTTCATTTTTCGATGTCTGTCATTAATTCCCACTATATTTATTTTAACAGAAGATTATTGCTTTGATCCTTCTATGTAGCAGTTAAGTGAATGCCATGCAGGGTAGCATTATTGAACAACTTCTGAATCCAAAGACTAACTAACAAATTATCAAATTTAGAACTGAATTTAACTGTAGGTTTTATAGTTTCTAGAATTTTTTTGCCCGAAGAGTCCAAATTGTAATTAATTTACAGATATTAAATATTTCCTATGCTGAAGAAAAAGTCAAGTAAACGCTTAGCTCTACTGCCACAACTCTACTCCGAATTAAGGGATTATCTGATTATAAAAAGGGAGTTTTACATATATTTATTATTAAATAAAGTTCAACAAGTTTACTTTCAGCTAGGACTGGAAAAATTTCACTGGAACATTACCAAATAAGACTTAGGTAACTTGAATGAGTTCATTGACAAAATACATATTTATGGTTTGACAAAGAGAAGTTGGTACCTGATGGCATTCTATTCATGCGGACACTGGAATGAATCGGAATGGAAAGACCTTCGTTGTCTTGGGAAAATAACTGGAAAGAGGCCACTGATAAAGCCACATTTGATAAGCTAACAGAAAGTCCACTGGCTTTTCTAGAAGTCTGATGAAAAGCAGAATCTGAAAACTTATTAACCTGTATAAATGTTCAAATAAGGTTATAGCACAGAAATAGTTTATTATCTTTTTTCCAAGGAAACTGTATTTCTGATAACTCAATAGTGGGAAAAATTATATAATATACTGTAAGAAACTAGGAAACAATTTCATTTGCCATTTAAGATTACTAAAAATTTTACTAAGATTGTGTTTCTAATTTTAAAGGTTTTTCTATTCTCTTCTCAATTTCAGAATATGTATGTGCACATATGCTTAAAATACAACACTATCAAAATAATGTTCATATTCTAACACTTATTTCAACAGTATTAAAAGTGTAGTCATAAAAATTGGAAGTCTTTTCAGATCAATGTCATTTCTGCTTTTCTCAGCTCTTAACATTTCTCAATGTATTCATAGCAAATGAAAGGAAAAAGAATGAACACTTCTATTAGCAGTAGGCATGAAAATGGGGTATGAGAGAATCTTGTTCAACTATAGCCAGTTTTCATCAATATATGTTTTAAAAGAGATCAGATGTCTTAAATTAATTATAATTTTATTATTTCCACTTGTAAATTAAAGTTCAACTTAAAATAAAAAGTGAAAATTCAGCTATTATACTTAAGCTACTTTATTACTCAGGGTTCTCTGTCTATTGTCTGCCTGCCTGCCTGCCTGCCTGCCTGCCTGCCTGCCTGCCTGCCTGCCTATCTATCTATCTATCTATCTATCTACACTAGGAGTTGAAAGTAACTACATAGATGAATATATAAGGTTATGTAAAATTATATACCCTTGTAGAGTTGTAATTGCAGGAATGTTCCAATCTCGGATGGCAAACCTCAGATAAAGAATGTTTCCAAGCAAATACAACTCAGGCAAACAAAGTCACTCATCTAAAGGAGGATTAGAGAGAGGAAGTAAACATATGTTAGACTTTAATTAGAGATAATTAATTGTATTAATTACTGTGCTAAACAGTAACAAAAGTTAAGCAGTAACCAAAGTTAACCAATGATGGAGGATAACTAAAAATGTGTATAAATGCAAGACTAGACTCCAGTAAAGATCATCATGATTCAGTTGTTCATGATCAAACAACTCGACTGCTTCGTCATTACAACATAGCCTCTAACATATTTTTCAAAAAGAACAACCCACTTTCAATTTGCATCCGACCACCATATTAGTTTTATAAGTTGATCCTGCACTATCAAAGAGATGCAGAGATAACAATCTTAGAGTAGCACTGCCAAGGAGGTTCTTTCTCTATTTTGCCGATATGCAAAAGATCATGAGTTCTCTAGATTACACATTACTTATAATAATATTTTTCAATATTTATTATTTTCCATTCCCACATGTTACTCAATAGTAAAGCCGGTATCCCCACCCATGATAGCAATATACCAACATATGGAAACATACAATACAGAATTTTTCCAACAACTTTCTATAAACATAGACATTAAAACATGTTGTGTATCATCACACACACATTTTAACTTTACTTATCATCTTTTAGCATATATTTTATAAGTCTTAAAAGATTTGGAAATATGAATTCTCTTCTTGCTCTGCCACATGGGAGTCAGGCTAACAAAATGCAAAGGATTTTGAGACTTTCTCCCATCTAGCTCACTTTCCAAAACCATGATTATTTCTATAAGCCCCCTTTCTCCAAGTTCTGAATTGGAGCTCAGTGAAATAGCCCTTGGATGCACATAAGCTTCGTTCTCTCCATGTAGTAAATGATTGCTCTGCAGAGGCAGCAGAACTGACTTCACTCCCCTCAACAGCCCAAGTCTGCCTGGCCTCAATTCACTACTCCTAAGTACATTTCTGTACTTTACACTATTCAGTCTTTTTACTCAGATATTTACACCACCCACCAAGTAAGCATTTCTAGAAACGTATATAACAGATCAAGGCATTTGACTTATCCACATGTAGGAATACTCCTGGGAGGATGAAGAGGTGGATGTTTCACTGAATTGTACGTTTTAGTGTTTAAGTACATCCTACCCATTACTCTAAAATCTCCCACAGGCAGCAGCATCTGCTTCTGGAATTATGATCAATAGGATTCAGCAGGAATTGGGTATAGTCAATGAAGCCTTTTTCACTTTGTTCATTTTCTGTCTATCCATCTATCATTCCCAAAATTAATTTATGTTAATGAATGGATATTCCTTATTGCTAGAATTGCTCTATACTTTCAGAAAGTTAACACTTTGGAAAATCTAGTGGAACTTCTTTATATTGCTACTATTGCTACTTAACAATGTTCTTTAATAGTACTATTTGAGTTCTGAGTGTCTCTTTAT